ACAACCTCTCGTCAATATGCGTTTTTCGCATTGCATTGCTGCAAAAAACGCATAAAAACGAAATTTTACTCTTACCTATTCCCCTTACCGGCAGATATCTTGCATAGGATCTGTGCACACTAAGAAGTGGGTCGTTTTGCAGGAAATCGCCTGTTCGAGGATGAAAGAGTCAAAATGGCAATGCTAGCGATTGATCGGGCGGATTTTTGCCCGCGAAATCCATACATGGACAATCCGGAGCCGATCGGTTGCAATGCCACAATCAGTGCACCACATATGGTTATTAGTAATGCATGAGCATAATTTACAGGAGAAATGGTTTCTGTGTTTCAGTTTGGTTTGCTGGAGATTTGCATTCGGGATGTGCAACTACGCCAAATTTGTCAGACAAATGCTTTTTTTTTTGTGCATGAATTTTAGCCAGAGTGGTGTTTTCAGCACGCTGCTGCTCTCCAGTATCTCAAAGACCATTTGAGGGAAGGTGATCGGGCGCTGGATGTTGGCTCGGGCTCTGGTTATCTCACTGCATGCATGGCACATATGGTAATTTTTTTAAGGCTGTTGGGTTGTGCAGATTGTTGGGGAATGTAAATTGCGTTCTGTGACGATGGATTTTACAGGTTGGTTTAAGCGGGCGAGTGGTTGGAATTGAGCATATCAGAGAACTGGTCGAATTGTCCATTCGAAACATCCGCAAACATCATGCAGAATTTCTGGACGGCGAAAGAATTGTGATGGTTGAAGGTGATGGGCGCAGAGGCTTTGAGCGATACGCTCCCTACAAAGCGATTCATGTTGGAGCTGCAGCACCAGCCGTACCTGAAGAGGTTGCCCCATATTTGTTTGTTTTAAATATGAGAATACCTGCCTATTCTCAACATTTGTGACCAAGGGGTCCCGATCTCTGCAGCTGGGGTCCGATGCTACTGTATGTCTCTCGCACTGAAGCCCGTTACGGAAGAGCGTTGGTGCATTGCTCGGAGATAAGCAACTAAATTTGGCGGGGGAGGGGATGACGCGATGCCTGCACTATTATTGTTTAGAAGTGCGCAGAAGGCAAAGAGAGGAACCTCACCCGTAGCAGACAGTTCGCATGCCGAATTGCGAGTTGTGAAAGTGAGCTGCGATGAGGCGACCGCTTATCGGAGAGATATCATCGCCTGCAGAACTTGTTTCGTTGGCATGGTTCAGTGTGGTGTGTTTGTTTTAGCTGCTCAGCCAGTTGGCTCCAGGAGGACGGATGCTGATACCTGTGGGCGCTGCACACAGCGATCAGCGTTTCGTGCAAATCGATAAGGACGAGAAGGGTAATGTTACTCGAATTGAGAAAATGGGAGTGATCTTCGTGCCGCTCACCAACAAGGAGAATCAAATGGGCCGCATGTGCTGAGCCTGATCCAGTGCTTCGTTATATTTTTTAACACTCGGAACTGATGTTGCATTGTCGTTAGCTTGCTACTCAGTCAACTCGTGGAGAAAGTCGTCGGTTTCGCAAGCGAGTAGTTGTTTGTTGAAGGATTGTCCTTAAAGGGGGGGGGCAGGGGGCAAGTAGTGCTTTCTTCCTGTTCTCTTGTAAGGAAGAGCACAGATGGAAAGCTAGAAATGGGGGTACCAGAAATATCTTTCCTTGCTCCATTTAACCACTGGCTTATTCCATTTCACGTTATTTTTTAAAGCATATTTGTTCGTTTTCTACTGCTTATTTTTGCTTACACTTAAATTGAAGCCTCAGTCGTATGATAAGTAACTCATTGAGTTTGTATAGCAGTATTTCAGTCCTGTAAGCGAGTTTTTTTGATTAAATACTAATATTAGCTGTATGCTTGCAACAGTACAATGTGCTAATTTCTAGACGTAATATTTTATGAATTTGTAATGTGAGGGAAACATTTCTCGTGTAGGTTATCTCACCAAATAATTTTCATTTTGTCTAATTAACCGAAGCAAATTTCCCACAGTGATTCATGGAGCGGCGGTT